GATAAATAATCTTAAATTATATTGATGAAACAATGATAATCAGACAACATATATTATTAAATAAATAATTTCTAAATTAAAGAAATTATTAAAGATATTTTTAAAATTCTCCTGAGATTTATTAAAACATTAAATAAATAGAAAAAAATGTGAAACAATTTCAAAATATGAATCTAGCATCAAGGATATTATTAAAGGAAGGATGCGTCTTTAAAAAATGGCCGTCATATTCGTCGATATCGTTTTCTCACTAGAAATTTATATCAGTCGCAAGGATGATCGGATAATGCGGAGTGGCAAATGATGGAATCGTGAAGTCGACATAAACGCAAGAGTTCGGGCACAGCAGGAAAACGCCTGAAGAGAGTGAGATGTTCAATAAAAGCAGCACAGTCTCGACAAACTGTGCGATCCTATGAAAAATGCGAGCTTATGTTTGGAAGAGACGGAACACAGAGACACGTACAAACAGTTGGGTAACGATACGAGAGAAATGCGAATGCCCTCGGGGCAAGCTCGATGGGAAAGGAAGCGATGGAATAGTAACTGTTATTTACACCTAGAGCATCGACTCCATCGACGATATCCCACCCGCAAGTCCCGCGAGTCTATCGACAATGCACGTACTCTGCTCTTTGTTTTTCATGACGTGACTGTCAATTTGGGATTTTGAAATTGTCTATTGGGAGATTACAAAGCTATTGTATACATTTGCGATTTTCCACTTTGTGTTTAATAAAAAATAAATTTAAATAATTAATTCGGATTATTAAATAAAAAAAGTTATAGTTATCATTGCAATGATTTTTTATATTTATTAAAATTTTACTACATCGTATATACTTATAATTAAAATTATATTATATATAAATCACATGTTATTTATATTTTGGAAAAAAACACGTACATTATAATTATTTACTCTCTATCTCAACATCGAGGATAATTAAAAAATATTTTAATTTCTTAATTTAATAATAAAGATAATGATATTGTTGCTAATTAAAAAAAAAACATAATTATGTTCTACATCATGCGAGTTATCTTTATCATTAGCCAGTTAGAAATAATTACTTTGAATCTTTGATTTCGCAACATTTTACTTCCTCACAGGATCCCCCAGAGTCGCTTAGGATTGGTAATGATTTGTAAACTCGAATCAACCCCCAGGGTTTTATAAAGTCAACGCAGTGATGTATCTGCTTTTCGTGCAACTTCGATCTTGCTCCAGCGATTACGAGCGGGATGTATTATACATAAAATTCAAATCTACACCCGTTATCGATTTTCATCCTGCTTTCTCTCTCTCTCTCTCTTCTCTCTACTACTACTCGTACTACTACTACTACTACTACGTACGTACGTACGTACGTACTACGTACGTACGTCGTTACGTACGGTACGTACGTTACGTACGTACGTACGTACGTACTTAACGTACGTAACCGTACGTTACTAGCGATCTGATGCCCTTAACTCCCCCTACGGTTCGTGTCCCGTTACGGTCAGGTTACCGTACTAGACCGTTACTACTTCGTAAGTTTTATTAGTCGGCCGTTTCCGGTACGAAACTTAGTAAAGGAAACGTTACATTTCGTCAATCCGTCGGTGTATCGGCATTGTTAAGCATGTCGATTTATCGAAAGCTTTTGTCAGCCAGTTTTTCTTTTTTTTTTTTTTTTTTTGTTGAATAAGCTCGTCTCTCTCTCTCACAATTGAGTGAAATTATTCCGCTCCGCTCCGCTTCGTTGATAGCTTTTCTCAATATAGGTATAATAATATCTTAGTGACACGTTCTTCTACTTTGTATTTTAACCGTTATCGGCAAACATAATTAATAGTCCCCGTGCCTGCGTAAGATTTTAACGTGCTTTTACCTCGCTAAAAGGGAAGGTACGAATTTAATTTACATTTTTTACATTACTCGTTTTGTCGACGTGGGACGCTGGAATACACTCGCACGTATTATACCGTACATCCAGAAAATCTCAACCGCGTTTTCACAAAGATACCGAAAGTTTAAAGGTTACTCTATGCGAATTCAAGAGAATATACCAAAATACAGCAGAGAATAAAATGCATCATTCATAGCATCATTCAATTGACAAGGGAAATCCGATCAAAAAACATTCCCAGCTCGATTATCAAACAATTTCATCACCGATTGGCGATGAGAGTTAATCCTCAAACTGTATCGTATATAATTGCTATGATCCATAAAATTTTGCAAGCTTATTCAAATTTTTCCGGATTTTATGGATTACGGCATCTTTAAAGGAAAATTAAAAAACGTTGGCAGCATAATCTATGAAAATGCAATATGTGTAGTCTGTCTCACTGTTGCTCTGAAAAATAAAGAAGCGATATTCAAAGGAAAATCCATTAACCAAACGAGAGAGAGAGAAAGAGAGAGAGACCCGAGAGAGAGCGACATAGTCGAAAATCATGAAAAAGGAATCTCGCCGACACCTTTTTTTATTTCGATCCCAGAGAAAAAATTCCACTAACAAAGACAAGCGAGAACAGAGTATTGTGAAAAATACTCAGGTGACCTAACTGTGCGGGCAGGATTTAAATTACAAAGATTCGATAGCGTGCGAAAGAAGTTTTCCCTTTCGATGGGACTTATACTTTCATCCGTGACGTGAATGGCGCGATGAATTTTTTTTCTTTTCATTTGTGTCAAATCTTCTTGTATCAAATACCGTCAATATACCGTATAATAATGTATTATCTGCTATTTTACGACCTATTTTATGATTTTTGTTGTTTATATTTTACAGAAGTATTGGTGCATAAATATTAGAATGAAACTTGCTCAATGCATCTGTACAAAAAAATATGAATGCATTAATATAAATTTGTACAAATTATTTATTAAAATGTATTAAAAACAAAAGAAAATTTTACAATAAACTGTTTCGTATTATTAAATAATTCATCAAAATTAATTGAGAATTATATTTAATCGCCATAAGTCCCAACGTCACGTAGACTATATTTTCATTCTGTAGAAAAAAAAAAAAAAAAAAGAATAAGAATTTTTCAAACGGAACGTGCCAATTGCGAGAAAGGAAGAATATGATAAGTCTTTTCACAAGAGCTTTGCGAAGATCGATCTTCCATTTCCTCGGGTCTAATACGCGTTTTGTTCGTCCGATCGTTAAGTAATGATGTTTAAGCCTTTTAATCGCAATCACAAACGATCAGAACGTAAAGGGAAGTGAGTTAATGTCGTTCTACCGACGAAACGGGCAGTTCTAATTAATCCGCTTCATCCCCCGTCCTTCTCATCCCGGGCCACCGCGCGACGATTCGACTCCGCCTCGTCTATTGGCGGAGATTCGCAGCTCGAGAGTTTCCCGGGAATTTCGCCTATAACCTTTTGCAGACCTCGCTACACCCACCGAACCTTTCGGATCCAATCCTAAAGGGGAGAAACGGATACTTCCCAGTGAAACTCCTGTGAAACACGCTAGTTAACCCGGCGGATACGATGGCTTTATTTCTTAGATAAGTTGATCAGCGAAATGTAGATGGATGATATCCTACTTTGTCTTGCCACGAAGCCGAAGCGCGAGACATAATTATGATGATTGATATACCGTAAAATATATTTAGAATGCGTCACGTGCGCATTCATAAAGCGTTAAATCTGCTAGATAAATAAACTGTATGAGCAACAGTCTTGTCTGTTAAAACTCATATATTTATCAGTTTTTGAGAAAAAATTTCCTAAACATTTATATATATATATATAAATCTAGGAGAAATTTTTAAAAAATATTACTTTAAATAATTTCTTTAATTTAGAAAT